GGTGACGGAATCAAACAAAACATCCAGTGATAACTCACACTCAACGACATGCGGTTGTCTGTTGACAGTGCGGACAAACCGGTACCTAGATTGGCGCTTTACTACGCGAGGATGGTCTAGTAGGAAAGAAGATCTCTCACCGATGACAGACTTAGTACCTCCCGAGTCTAGAAGGGCGGTTAGAATATATTAACTTGAATCATTGTCGGCGACCTATAAAAAGCTCTGACAAGATCGAGCCAACGGGTCCACTGTCTAGGTGATTCGCTTGTCTTCATAAGGGATGCGTGGTTACGACCAGCCAGAGCAGCGTCCCTACGTAGTTTTTTGGCTCGCAATTAGTGCAATTGGCAGTGATAACACTTTTGGTCACGCACTTGTAACAAAAACGCGTACGCGCCTGGGTGCAATACGCATGGAAATGATTTAGTTCTCCGCAGTTATAACATCTCACTTGTTCTTCAGTCTGTGAGGTGGACTTGGAACTGACTTTCGCAGGCTTCCCTGCTTTCCGGAAACGATGTTTTCCCTTGTTGTTCGATTTATCCTCTTTAGTTGAAGACGTACTCTCAGGCCACGCCGAAGGACCTACTGCGTTCTCCAGTAATAACCCTGGTCTTACAGAAGAAACTAGGGGTTTCGATATCTGTGTTGTCACAGGGTGGGAAAGATTCCAGCTTCTTACACAGGTCACGGAGTTGTTGTACCGTTCCGACATTGTGTAGCCCCAACGGAGTAATGTACTCAGTCCGAATCAAAGGTCGTAGCCACCGGACTTTCATTTCCTCAGAAGGTGTCTCAGATAACCTACCGAAGTACGACTCCATTACCGCGAAATAAATAACGACCTGTTCATCGTTTCTCTAAAACCGCTGTTTAATCTGGGCCCATAACAAATCGTCATAGTCGCTAGGTAGAAAGTCTTTCCTGAAGACTTTTTCTAAACAATTCCAGTCCGAAAGTCGATCACGCACAGAGCGGTACCATATAAGAGCATTTCCAGAAAAGAGATCTACAGCATCATGACTTAAATCACGGGAAGATACGTTCCTGTCACCCACTAGTTCTTTGACTCGTTCAAGAAACGCACATAAATCATCGGAAGCCTCCCCGGAAAATATAAGGCCCCATTTACAGACCGGTAGTACATTCGATGCGTTTTCCTTTGAAGGATCAAGAGAGCTAGGAACCCAAGGCGGAGACATCTCGCAGATCCTCCTCCAAAGTCGCATACAACTCGTCTCGCACCCTCCTTGTGGTACCTAGGTCTGCCTCCGAAATAGGCATCCGCACAATGCGGCCACGAATATGGTTCAATTGCGGTGCAATCCGCCGACAAAAAGAGTCGGTGATGGATCCTGATTCAAACTCCAAAGTGATGTCAATTTCACTCTTATCAATTTCAAAATCAAAATTCTGCACGCAGATGTTACTACGAGGACTTTTTTTGAGGAACTCGTGCTCTAAGAGCAGCCGCTTTTCCTTGACGGGCCTACTAGTCTTAACTCGACTAATAAGCAATCATAGTCTACCTCGTAGTCTGACAGACAATCTACAATAATTCCTAACGCTTCGATCGCCAAACAATAGTTTGCTTTCTTTTTCAATTCGCGAAAACGCACCACCTAACCAAAATAATTTTAACAATACCCCACGCTTTGGACGCCAAATTGTGTTACTTTAACAATTCCTCTCTACTATAAAAAAGAGGTAAGGTACACTTGCCCGTGCTCACTTTCGGGAGAGCCGGTAGGTGGGTAAGAGATCTTAATTTAAAATAAAAAGTCAATTATTTTGGCGACTTTGTATAATTAGAAAAAAACTAGTATAAAGAAGTGACTTATAAACTAAGGTTAGTAATGGTGAATATGAATAAAAATAGTATCTGAAACAAACTACTACAGCAAAACGAACTACAAGACAAACCTACGGAATATTACGCGACTAACGGTCTACCAGCTAGTTACAAAAAATACGAATGTGGTCTGTTCTACCTGATCACAAATCAAATTAAAAAATTGGGCGCCATCAAGTTTACGTGAAAACTTGAAAAAAATATTCGCAAGCGAGAGAGAGGGGGAGGGAGAGAAAATGCAATTAAAAAAACCGATTTGGTATTGGCGATAAACGGTAAGAAATTTCCTATGGCAGCGATAAGGCGTATTTTCTATTCAGAGATCACACAAAAAATTGGCGTCCGCATACCTCCCACAGGACGACGCCGACGCGCCGACCAAGGCTTGTCGCAGCCTGGATCCCACGATGTCCAACTCACCAGGCCAGCGTCTACGACTTCGCGATCGTCTAAAACCTCAGCTCTCTCCGTCACTTCTGAATGGGTCTAGAAACGTCGCCCCCAGCATGGAAAAAATATCGTAACAACATATAAAATTTGACAATCAACGATCCAGCAGTTTCGGAGATTACGTGTCTAATAAAAATGGATGTAGACGCCAGAGAGATAGACAGAGAGGCAGACAGACGGAAACCGGAGATTATTTTTTCGTATTCGAAATCAACAATCTTATCTTCTGCCACCAAGCGGTTAGAAAGAACCAATCATGGGAATGGGATGATTGCTAGATTTAACCATGAATTTATAGGTGTGGTTAATCAATTTTTGTTTTGTGAATGCTTTTTAAAATTATAAAATTAACAGAAATCCTGTCACCTAGTAAGGTTGTTGCTGAAAAACTGAAAATATTTGTAACAAATAGAGGTAACTAGTGGTCAACATGTTCTGAAACATTTAAAACTATTCTGTCAGCAAATGGTGCATAAAAAATCCGCCATCAATACGAAGAGGGAGACATTTTGAAATGAAGTGTTAAAGAAATGTTAAAGCTTCTTTAATGGTAGAAGTTTTAAGTAAGTATTACTATCCTTTTATTTCACCCCAGAATTAATATGTTATTGTCACTGAATGAGTTCCATAATTCAAACACAGTCACAGTTGCTTTACTGTTGAGCGAAATTTGTCCTTAAGTAGTTTTAAATAATGCCCTCTAGTTCTTTTTAGAGAATTCAGAGGAACAGATGCTTGATAAGTGACTACGGATTTTTAAGTGCCCGAAAAAGAATTCATCATGGAATTCTCGTGGGCCTTCTTCAATTAAATTTTGGGTTTTTTGTATTTTTTTAGGTCATTTATATTTAAAAGGAATAAGGCCGTACCTAGTACAGATCCTTGCGGGATTCCGTTTTTGATCTTACGTTATCTTTTGCTAATACATATTGGCATCTCCCGTCTAAATAGGACTGTATGAGACCTACGCTTTTATTTTTTTAAATTAAAATTAATAAACCAGACTTAACATTCGAGGATATGTTTATAGTTTCCCCAGTTCTAATTCGATTTTATGATGTGCAAAAGTTTACTTTCTTAACAATAAATTACTACTTCCGGTGAGTGGACAGTCACAAATAAGGATTTAACCATTATACAGTATAATGGTAACGGCATGGTTAAATATGTATTTATGAATGTTCCATCGCCGGCAGGAGTAATCTATTGTTAAGGAAGTTAACGTTTACACAACGGGGTTCTATCATGAAATCAAACTAGAACTGGGCAATTTATGCCAGAATGTTAGGCCAAGTTACTCCTCGAAATGCGTTAATTAGTTTATCGTTAATATGTGCGTCTTGACTTAGATTATACATTTCATACAAGAACGCGGTGAACCACTTGTTTGCTTTTTTCCTTGACTTTATAATACAGGGAAATGTGTTTCGATACCATTTTGTAATGTAGAAACAAAGATCTCAAATTTTTATTTAACATCAATATCATCATCTTGGACAAATGATCAGTCAATTTCCTCAAAATAAAAATAAAAGTAGTACCATCCAATGTTGTCAAAATTCCTCGCTTTAATTTTAGCCTACTTTGGCTATTGTTTTTACCTAGTTATAAATTATAGTATTATCATGCAATTGTTAAGTGTTGTATTATGATCAATTACATACCTAAAATTACAGAAACTTAATAGTCAACTAATGTTTTAAGTTTGATATTTAGTAATTTTAAAATTTATATTAAAATCTTTCAAAATTATTACCTGCTTTTTCATGTTTGCCACTATGCTAAAAATTCCATTGAAATCGGAATTTATTGACAGAGAATGATGTACTGCTATAATTAGAAGGTTAAATGAACTACTTGCTCCAGCGGCCAATTCATAATAAAGTTCAACACCTAAGTTATCATTAAATGGAGTGATATCAAGATCCATTTTGGCTATTATCATCACTCCTCCTTGATCTTCTGTTTTGAAAAATATGATCTTAATTTATAATAATCAGTTGAACAGAAGATTTTAATTTTTTGCTCACTTAGATAATGCACAGACATACAACTTCATTTGCTTTGTTAACTGAATTTAAGTAAAATTCGAATTCGACTAATTAGTTTCCTACAGATTAGAGTTTAAAAGTGAAACACTTTTGTCGAATTCGTGAGGTTATGTTGGAAAGATTCTTGTCTGATGGATGACCAAAATTTGTCTGATTAATTGATGTGATTTATGCCTGGGCACCCAAATTTTTGCAAGAAAACGCCCAAATTATAGAACAAATTATTATGTAACATTTTGTAACAATTTACGAGCAACGAAGAGCGATGGATTAGTTCATTTGTGGAAACGTCGTCCTAATAATTTGAAGTTCGTGGATTCGATCCCCTCATGGGCCACTTTTTCTCCCTCACACTGTGACTGCTAAACTTTTAGCAATGGTTTTTCTTGACGTTTTGGAACAATACACAGTTCCTCCTTAAAAAATTTTAAGAAAATTGTTTAGATACATGCATGTCATTTATATCTGACACGTTCTTATTTTTCAAATCAAGCAATTTTCTTATCTTTAAACACATTCCGGCTGACACACTGACCCCCGTTTCATAATACCCAAACTCGCGATAAACACTCGCAGAATTAATAATTATAAAAAGTAAAAACAAACAAAAGTAGATAAAATATTAACTTTCGAATGTACGGCGACAATTATTATCAATGTCGAAATATCAGCTACACGTCCAAGACGTTCACCAGTAGGTAACAATTTTTTACAGTATCACTTATAATTGCATTAAATTTTTAGAAAATCAAAAATGTCTCTCCTCTTTTACTCGTTCATTGTATTTTACTTTTCATTTGCTGTATCTCAACCAGAAAACTGCACATATTTTGAAGAGAAGCTATCCAAATTCGACAAAAAAGTCCCACGTGTACAAATTATTTGCAGATATGTCCCGTCCAACTTTATTATTAAATCGTTCTATTTTGTCGAACAGCCTTATCCGCAAGATCTCATTATAACAGAATCGACGATACCTGTTTTATCAGACTACACGTCTTTACTCAATATGCGTTACATCAGAAATCTTTCCCTTAAAGGCTTAGGAATCAAGTGTATTAGACCTAGAGCTTTCAGGAACATGAAGAATTTGGATGAATTGGATTTAAGTTATAATCGGCTAAATGAAATTTCCAGTGAAGCTTTTGTTGGACTTGTGAATTTAAGAAGTTTGAAGTTGTCTGCCAACAATATTTCGGTTGACATACAATATGCTTTGAAAGACTTAGCGAAACTGGAGTATGTGGATGTTTCCAATAATTCTTTAGAGAAGGTTCACACGGACGGCCTTGTTGCGAATTTAAAAGCCAAATATATCGTGCTGTAGAAATTTTGTTTTAATTGTATTTACTTTAAATGGCACAACCAAAACATTAACCCTTTTCCTCAATATTATGATCATTTAATACATACAAAGTGTTTTAAATTGTTAAAGTATTTGAAATAAAAGTTACACAACGCGTTGTCACAGCAGTTGGTGGAAGACGTTTATCGGGAAGAATTTGTCTACATAGGGAAACTCGTAAAAAAGGAGCTTTTCTAGTAGTTACCAGATTGGAAAATATTATTCAAGGCTTGTTAGTGTATAAGAAAGGAAAGGAATAAACCTTACTTAGTGTAGGTTACTGAGTTGTCAAGTAACAGATACAAAAAAATAAATCTTTGTAAGAAGATAAAAAAAACAAATTAAAATAAAATAACGCTTGCAAGGAAATAGTTCGTGTTTAACAAACAGTTTATTGTTAATTGCACAAATGAGCACAGTCGGTTTACGTCTACATCTAACTTATAGTTGTTATTATTGGGGCCTTTTTTTGGGCGCTGCGTACCTACATGCTAACGGTGCGTTTACGTCTTTGGTGGTATATAAACCTACGTCTGTGCCACCCCACATACCTCCTCTAAAAAAACTAACGGGGCAAGAACAGTTCATGGTAATCACAATACCGCTCACCTCTAGATTGAAGTATCAAACAGATAATCACAATCGACCATCAATCGCCAAACGTAACAACAAAATTCGCATATTTACAAATATCAAATATCATTGCGCTTGTCAGATCTTTCAAACAACGTGCACAGAACCGCAACATCCACAAAAATCCCCAATGGCAATATTTACTCTCATTAAAATTCACATCCAGTGTAAAACAGCAGCAGGCGAAACCCAGACACGTAAATGTCAAGAAAAAAAAAACGGAATAAAGAACACCGCCTTTACTAAGTCGCATAAATACGTCAACCTAACGATCAAGAAGAAATCCTTTGTCTAGTGAAATTGGACCTTATGAAATCACGAAATACGGTCTAAGGCGCACGAGAATCGCTGCCCGAATTTCTGCTCAATTTTGAAGAGAGCTGGACTTTGAAAAATTTGCTGAAATCCGGCAGAAGGCTGGAATTTTCCATGTCGGGTCTGTATAACACTACCTTCAGTCATGCTTGACTTATCATCACTTTCGTGCTGCGATCCTAACGTATTTTCGACTTCCGCCGTATTAAATGTTTAATCCATGCATTTTTGTCGGTGGTTTTCGATGCGATTAGTGTGAATAGATAGCGTCGAGGTTCCTTTGGGATATGAGGTTCTGGTTCGACAGAACTGTGGCTTATCTTAGTACTAATAGGGATCGTAAGCTTATTTACTGTTTCTTGTTTATTATATTCGATGGAAAGTTCGGTACTGTCTTTCTTATAGTTTCTTTTGTTACTTCAGCGTCCGATTCTCTTTCTGTTGATGGACTTTGTTGTCCTGCACGATACACCTGTGGGTTGAGCTACCTATCAGGCGCGTCCCCGGGGTTGCGGATAGGGGGAGACCGGCATTGTCTGGGGAAGGGGGTCTGGGGAGGGCGGATATGCCCCCCGGAACTAAACACTCCTGGGGGTGGTGGAAGTCCGACCTGGATTTTTCCCTTCTCCAGATATGTAGGTTAGGGCTGAGGCTCGTCTTGCCTGGACATGCCTTGGTGGTTGTCGGCTTAGACGGCCGCGAAGGCGGTTCAGTAGAGGAGGGCTGGAAATAAACGTGCCCCCCCCGGGATTAAAGCCCTGGTGTGGGGTCGTCAAAACAGCCCCGCGGACAAGCTCCCGCGTGTTTGTGCCGTGCGTGGAGACCCGTAAGGTGGGATCAAGGAATCCTGGAGGTTGAGCCCCCCTTGGTGCAGTGTGTCACCAAGGCTGGGCAACACGCCTCTTTGGCCTGGATTTCCACCAAAACGGGAGGTCGAGACTAACCCATCTCAGATCAATCGGCTGTGTCGTCGGGTCAGACCGCCGACAGGGTGAGTCCTTGGGGGAAGTGTAGTCTGAGCACGAGTAGCCTCACTAGTTGAGGCTGCGTACTGCAGGATGAGCTTCCCTGGGGGCTATATCCTTCTGCTAGCCCTGACGTCGAAGTTCGACGTCCCCTTGTTGGACTCCGTGGTGGGTGGGGACGCAGGAGGACGAAATCAAAATCCAGATTATGGAAATCAACAATAAAAAAACCACTGAGGAAGTGCCTTCGGGTGCACCTCAAACAGAAAACCCAGCCAATGAGGGGTCGCAGCCTCCTAGGAGGAAGCGAATCTGCGGGGCTGAGGTAAAAAGGCGGAGGAAGGCTCGTTTGCAGGCGGAGGCGGCGAATACCGACCCGCCGAAACCGGGTCCATCCTCCTTCGGGATGAACCCCAAGGGTAAAGGGCAGGCTACGATAGCCAACCCTAAACAACCCGCGGGCAAAAAGACCTCAGGGTCAAAGAAGAGAGTGAGGTCTTCAACCTCCACACCTCCGGCAGCTGAAAAGCAAAAGAGGATGAGGAGGCAGGAGACTACCTCTAGAGAACAGAGCTACAGGGAGGCAGCTGCAAGTCATCTCCGTGTAGCTGTGATTGATGTGCAGCATCCACTTGGTAAGTTGACTGCTGACCAGGTGGAGATAGTACAAAAGGGCCTGATGGGAGCGCTGGACAGGCAACTTGACCAGTGCTTGGCATCGGGTAGACAAGCAGCCACTTTCAGGGGCATGAAGTACACAGGGGAAATCCTAAAGATAACCTGTGAAGACGAGTTGTCCCTGAAATGGCTACAACAAACAGTGCGCTCGCTAACACCCTTGTGGGAGGGCGCACAACTTAACGTGGTCCCCTTGGCTGAGCTACCAAGGCTGGTGAGGGCGACCCCGTGGATACCGAGACCACCGGTGGATGCAGGAGTCGTACTTCGCCGCCTGGAGGGTCAGAACCAATGGGCCCACGTCAAAAAATGGCTTCTTTTCCATCGCGAGGCCAAACCCGAGGCTGCCTCTCCAGGCAACCTCTTTGTGTTTGGTCTTGGGATGGAAGAGGCCAAGATAATCACGGAGAGAGAGGGCAGAATCAACTATATGCTGTCCTCTTTCAACCTGAAACTCAAGGAGAACGAGGCGTCGGCTCAGGAAGGGCGGACCCCTATGGAAGAGGTAGAAACCCCAGGGGGTGAAGCCTCAACCAGTGGGGGCGGGCCCGCCTGAGACATATGCCTCGTGTCTCCTAGGACAATTATGGGAGTTTTTGGTTGCAGAGATGGCGCTGCAGCAGATAAATTTCATTCAGATTAACCTGCAGCATTGTCGCATGGCGACGACTGTTTTGTGTCGTCGTCTAGACAAGATGCAGAACACTATAGCAATAATCCAAGAACCATTGATAGTAAAATCCAGGATCGCAGGGTTGAGCAATTTAAATGGCACTGTTGTTTCAGGTACCACAATAGAATCTCCAAGGACATGCGTCTACATTCCGAGGAAAATTAAAGCCGTCCTCCTACCTCAGGTCAGCTCCAGGGATGTGACTGCGGTAAATGTTAAGTGTAACATAGGAAGAGGCGAAGAGCAACTGGTAATAGCATCCGTGTACTTACCACAGGGAGCACAGGAACCATGTCCAACATGGGAAATGGCGAACTTGGTGGAACACTGTGATACCGGAAATATAAACCTCATCATCGGTACCGATGCGAATGCCCACTGTCTGTTGTGGGGGAGCAAAGACACTAATGATAGAGGAAGAACACTAGCTGAATATCTTTTATCAACAAATCTAGAGATTCTCAACCGAGGCTGCGAACCAACTTTCGTAACATCACGTAGTCAGTCAGTAATTGATATTACACTGGCTACATGGGATATCTCACAATATATAATGGGATGGCACGTCTCTAAAGAGGCGTCAGTGTCAGACCATAGATGGATCATGTATACATCAAAATGTATAGACATGGAGACAAAGACGTACAGGAACCCTAGGCTGACGAACTGGGCTTTATACAACGAAGAACTGGACGACAGACTGGGGATCTCCGTGCAGTCTATACCAACAGAATACATATCGACAGAAGACATAGAGAAAACCTTGACCATTATCAACGACTCTCTAATGTCAGCGTATGAGAAAAGTTGCCCCCTAAAGAAGGAAGGTCTGGGCAAAGGTACACCATGGTGGAACCGAAGGCTGAGCCTACTTCAATCGGGGCTAAGAAAACTTTTCAATAGAGCAAAAAACACTAAGAAAACTGAAGACTGAGAAGCCTATAAAGAGCACCGGAAAGAGTTTAAGAAAGAATTAAGAAAGAGGAAACGGGAAACGTGGAGATCCTTCTGCAGCGACATATCGTCGACTGCTTCGGCCGCAAGCCTGAAGAGAGTTCTCTCGAAGGACCACACACATCAACTAGGTTTCCTAAAGAAAGAAGATGGCACCTTTACAGCCACCTTAGAAGAGTCCGCAGAACTTTTGTTGCAGACCATGTTTCCAGGCAGCACAAGGACTACCTCCCATTCCAAAAGGGATGTAGCCGGTACTCAACCTTCCCCAAAGGACTGGGTGCTGGCGGCAAAGGTAGTCACGGAGGCAAGACTGGAGTGGGCAGTGGACAGCTTTTCCCCATACAAATCTCCAGGAGTTGACGGTATTTATCCCGCCCTCCTGCAGAGGGGAATGAGCAGACTACGCCCTATTTTGTTGCCAATGCTTCGGGCGTGTCTGGCTTTCAGCTACATACCGAATGCATGGCGAAAAGTAAAGGTTATCTTTATATCCAAGCCAGGACGACAAGATTACACCTTGGCTAAATCCTACAGACCAATTAGCTTAACATCATTCTTGCTGAAAACGCTAGAAAGACTAAGCGAAAAAGAGATTCGGGAGACTGCTTTGAGCAAGCAACCTCTACATCCGAACCAACATGCCTACATCCAAGGAAGATCCACCGATACGGCCCTACACACAGTTGTAAACCGTATAGAGTGGGCGATGGAGAACAAACTCTTCACCTTAGGAATGTTTTTGGATATTGAAGGAGCGTTTGATAAAACGACCTTCAAAAGCATAGAGCTAGCCCTACAAGAGCACGACGTGGACCCCACCCTAAGTAGGTGGGTGGCCGGTATGCTGAGGAATAGGGAAGTAATGATTAATGTAGGTGGCACTGAGATCGAGGCCGTTGTAGACAGGGGATGTCCTCAGGGAGGAGTTCTCTCTCCTGTACTGTGAGATACTGTCGTTGACAGCCTGATACGACGCCTCAATGATCTTGGCTACCACACAATTGGATACGCGGACGATCTAGTCATTCTGCTAACAGGAAAAAACGCAGATACATTATGTGAGATAATGCAAGCTGCAGTAAAAATAGTCGAGGAATGGTGCAGCAGACATACCCTCTCCGTTAATGGAGAAAAGACGAAACTAATCCTGTTCACTAGGAAAAGGAAAATTGGCACACTACAGATTCCAAAAATATTTAACACAACGCTTCAACTTTCGGACGAAGTCAAATACCTGGGAGTTGTATTGGACTGGCGACTGAATTGGAAGAAGCATGTAGATGATAAAGTAGAAAAGGCACGCTCGGCTCTTTGGCAATGTCGTGGGGTGGTGGGAAGGTCGTGGGGTTTAAATCCCAAGATCACCCTCTGGATCTACACGGCAATAGTCAGACCGATGTTGTGCTATGGAGCTTTAGTTTGGTGGCCCAGAGCCAGACAAAAAACTACAGCCCTGCAACTTGAACACGTTCAGAAAATGGCGTGTCTCAGTGTTACAGGAGCAATGAGGACCACTCCCACAGTGGCTCTGGAGACTCTTCTTTGCTTAGCACCTCTTAACCTTTACATAGAGGAAGCGGCAATGACGACGTCTCTAAGACTTCACTCTCTGGGAGCATGGAACAAGCAAGGCCGCACAACGAAGCACACTCGGATCTTAACGGAGGCGTTCAACAGAATACCCTTGTTAAGGATGGGTTGTGACCGAATGGGCACAAAATTAATATGTGAGAAGACATATAGAATATCAATGAATGATAATTCAGAAGGACGAGCCGACATAGATATCTATGTCGATGGTGCCAAAACAGATAGTGGTTCAGGAGCCGGCATCTACTCGGAACAACTGAACGCACAAATCAGTGTACCTCTCGGCACCCACACGTCTGTCTTACAAACAGAACTGATGGGAATAATGCTGGGAGCTAGATTCATTGCTGAACGTGAAATCGGCAACAAATCAATACGCATACTTACTGACAGCAAGTCTGCACTACTAGCCCTGGACAGCTGTATGGTTCGATCCGGGCTGGTTTGGGAGTGCAGACAAACGCTAAAGTATGTAACGCAGAGGAATAGTGTGGAACTTGGTTGGATCAAAGGACACAGTGGCAACGAAGGAAACGAGAGGGCAGACGAGATGGCGAAGCGAGCCGCGCGCATGCCCTTCTGGGGACCCGAACCGGCAATCACGCCTTCGGTCGCCCTCTCGAACGAACTCGTAAAGCAATATACCCAGAGACGCCATGAGCAGATATGGGTGAAGTTGAGCAGCTGTCGGCATAGTAGAGCTTGTATGGTGACACCAGTCCGTAAGTTGACGTAATTTTATCTCTCACTTTCAAAGGAGAAACTGCGTAATCTGGTAGCATTCCTTACGGGATATTACCATTTTAGCACACATTTACATATTATAGTGTGGTAACAGGCCCAACCAACATCGTGGATGCAATGAAGAAGAGGAAACATCTGAGCTCATTCTTCGTGAGTGTCCAGGGCTAGCCTCCTACAGGAAATCCCTACCAGGGGACATCTGTCCTAGTATGGCAAAAATCAGGGAGTTCCCACCCTCTGCATTACTCAAGTACATCGAGCAGTTGGGTGGCTTGACGAGTAGAGGAGCGAGAAAAGACCCTGATATGGACTTGGAGAGGGTACAATGGGCCCAAAGGCGACGCCTAAGTGCCGGCTGGCTACGGTTAACCCCTAGAAAATTTAGAATCCAGTGTCCAGAAGCGTCTCAAACATAATTTGGCTTATATGGAAACCCATTTTACCATCTTAAAAATAAGTGTCACTAAGTTAAGAGACCTTAAGTCAGTCTTTGGATATAGTAGAGCAATTGTCTAAGCGATTGGAACATACCCCGGGGAGAGTAGGTGTAGTGGCACTTGAAAAGCTGCAAGAAACTTTACAAAAAAGTAACGAGTACCAAGCGCTTGAAATTGTCAGAGAAGTAGTACAAGACGAAAATATAGAAAAAGATTTAAAAATGAAACCCCCTGAAATTTCTCATTTTAAATAATCTCATCAACATCGTGTGATGTATAAAAATGCCCTAACAAACAAAAAAAAATTTAGAAAAATAATTTGTTATCTAAACTTTAACGAAGATTTAACGAAGGATAACAAAGATAAACACAAGTAACTAAGAATTCGCGAAGGCAGGCAACTAGATAAACGAGCGTACGTTGAATTTGTGAAAGCGGAACGTTATAGCGTACGGTATTTAATGTTATCCATATTATACACGAAGCAGGGGCGGCTCATGACTTGAAAAGTTGATGAGGCAAAGCACAATACGCTCCAAAATATAAATAAATCAAGATTACTTAAATATTTTCTACTTAGTCAAATAAACAAATTTGTAAACTCATTTAACTGTCCACCAAGAACCAACGTGAAGGTGTAAGGAACTCTTGTAAGGAAAGGATGGGAATGACAGGACAAAAGGAAAGGGAAACGTGGTCAGAAAAAACTAATATAACTTAAAAAAAAACAAAATTAAAATAAACTTTAAAGAAAACGTATCGAAAAAAATCAAATACAACATAAAATAAACCTATTTGATTTATAACAAAAAACAAAACGAAAAACATATAAAACATAAATACTCTGGATTTATTTTAATCTTTTTTATAGATCAATAATTAACGATTTACTCAAATAAGGAACCGGCCGTTTTAATTCCTTAACCACATACAATTTATCATCATACGTGAAAGTAGAAAAAACAGAACTGCTATTGTCATTTAACGTTAGTAGAGAAAAATTCCAATTTACTCGTAATCTTAAATAACGATTACCGAAATCAAATTATGACAAGCACAAAGCACTAACGCGACACACACAAACGTAGGCACTCGTAAGACAAAATTCTGTTACCGAAATTTTGAATCAATTTATACACACACAGATTTGTGGCAAAACAATCAACGGCCTAATTTTGAATACTTCTGCAAATGCAGACTGCATTGGAATCGCACGTTCTCCGCGCGCAAATATTGTTGTCCATCTCTTTTGCAAGCACGGAAATGAGGCTAGCCTCAATTTTGTCTTTTTTCAACTCATACCGCTTATGAGTGTATTGCAGGTTGCTTGCCTATTAACGATATGATTTCTATATCCGCTGTAGAGGCAAGCTCCGAGTTTGCCTCATTCGCGTCACAAAATACATGTTGTGTCGAGTGTTTCAGCGCGCTGTTTAATTAAGGGAGCAACGAGTACCTACTGAGATAAAAATAAGAATATAATTTTCCATATTTATTTTTAAAATTTTAGAAAAAAGACACAAATTATTGGCCGAAATGTGTCGTTGAAAATAGTAAAAATCCTAATAAGGCGTAAAATTCATTGGTGAGGCACTGCCTCACCTGCCTCATAGGACAAGCCGCCCCTGACACGAAGATTAATTCTCTTAAATCTGCCTACGTATGTATGTCAGAGACGAACAAGGGGAGACGCTGTTTTAATGTTTATTGACTTTGCTCTAAATGTTTCATACATTAAGAAAATGTTTGTGTTCAATTCTGAAAGGCGAACTAGAGGCAATCATATGCTGCAGAAGAAGTTTCTCTAACAGATCCGGCAGGTTTTTCTATCCAACAACAGTATTTGAAACCTAGAAACTTGTCCTTACATATGTCGCCTCCTATTAATAAGCACAATCTTAAGAAGAATTTTGATATATCTATGCATTTATATGAATATTAATTTTATTGTAGAAATTAAATGTAGGTTATCTGCTAATCTAACAATAATAAAATATGTATGTATATTAATTCAATAACTTGGCTTTCATATACCCGTATTGTTTGTATCAAACTGCACCATGACTATAAGCAACGTGGTTACAGTTCCCAGAAGTTTAAAAATCGTCGACCTGTCTATATCAAAAAAACCAGCAGCTGAAAATTTTGGAAAATTGCGAATTACGAAATCAATGAATTCGTTCACTTCAACCCGCTGGCGTGACAATGCAGAAGGAAAATTCTTTCGTAGCTTGTAAGCAAAACCAACAACCTTCAGCGCTTCCTTTAATACACTGTCGCACATAACAATCAGCATGCAGTTTCCCAACTGGAACATTCTATTTAGCACAAAAAAAGTGACAAATATCAACTTACAAAAATCATTGACACTACCAAAACATTTGAAATAAAAAAGTGGTAATATTTATCAGGATTAAACCGGAAGAAAAACAAATCATCGATGTAGTTGACAAAATGGAGCGTTGCGTAAGATATCATCAAAAGTAGCGGAATACCAAAAATGTCGTTAAAGTGGTCAACACTTTCTTTTAAAGTATAAGCAACATGTTCCATTTTTTTCATAAACAATAAAAACTCGTCTCCGGATATTGATTTGGTGTGAAAAGTTTGGTGGTAGTTTTCCAAGAAGTTGCGCAGGTAGCGATATTTAGAACGCAGCATACCAGTAACGACAAAGATCAAATATCCAAAAACAAACTGAGTGTAGATTTCAACATCAATAACAGCGATGTCTTTTATAGTTTTGAAAACCACGATCTGATGGAAAGCGTAATTCGAACAGAAGAGAATTATCCAGAAAACAATATTGAGCAATATAAAATCTAAATGTAGTGGAATCTTGTGTATATGTTGATCACACTTGATAGTTTTAATCAAGGCGCTCCATTGCTTCTGGTGATAAAATGTCGTCGAAACAATGGTGTAGCAATTAAATAAATACGCTATGATGTCCATCAAGATGCTAACAACACGCTTCATGTGTGTGTATGAATTTAAATAAGAACGATCAAAGCTGGAAATTATGACCCCGACCGTCAAACTTATTATCATCAAAACTGAATAAACTTTTTTTAGTAAATTTGGTTTTCTTAATGGAACTATTATGCCTAAAAATTTATTGGTAGCTATCACCAATTTTAACAACTTAGCACTCATACTATAGCACCTTAAGTGATAACCGGAGTCAATTTAGAAATTATTGTTGTTCTGTTTATTACCGAAAGAAGAGCCAAAACAAATAATATAGTTAATGGGTTTATGTTATTAATAGTGGAAGTTTCCTTTTACTCCTTTTAATTTATTAAATTGAAGAATCGCGTTCGACCACATTACAGTAAGAGTGCAAAAAAATTTCATTAGGTTTTTACAGTCGAACGCATAGTAGTGTCCAAATTATGCAAATGTAAGTGGGTGTTACAATCTAATCTAATTACACGAATGCGTATAACGTTTACCTACTTCGTAAACACGGCTTTTAAGTGTCCTAATAAATATGCTTCCGTATCAACTTTTTTAGTGATTTAGATAACCTGTCGTCCTAGAAAATATTTTACAACTAATTATTTATTTTTGCATTTCCACAATGTATCATAAAACTACCAGGAAAAGGAAGTAATTCTGGTTTTACTTGAAATTTATCTTTTGTTTAAATATTATTGACATTATTTTCTTAGCGGCACTTATGAACTTTTTTAATCAAAGCATTATTGTCAAAAGAAGTATTTGTTTAAAATGTGCTGAAAAGATTTTATTACCAATTATCATACTGTTCATTTTGCTACACTTTGCGGAAATATAAACCAAAAACGGTGTAATTGTTTTTTATTCTGTTATTTATTATTTATTTATTATTATTTTTAAATATGCACAAGTATAGTTTGTCCTTTTCAAAAGACAAAAATAATAATTTGATGTACGATTTCGTCTAATCACTCTGTATAACTGGTATTAAATTAGAGAATCTAGGGGTGAACCTCAGTGGAATCGTTTGAAACGATATAACACCATTAATATTTAAATGAATTTGTTTACGTAATATGTTTGTTTTTGTAGAAAAATGACTCAAACACGTGTTCATTTTTATCGTTGAAAATAACTATAAAGTTTCAAATTTTAGTCATAAATAATTGCAGCGCCTTGACCTGTTCGGAAAAATATTTATCGCAGCGATAAATCAATCTTTTCAAGATTTATAGTTACCCGTTATATTCTAATATATTATACATTTCGTTATTAAGTAGGGGGGTAATTTACAGCTTCATTTTACTTTAAAAATATTAATAATAATAATAATAAATTCATTGTGCAAAGAATGTAGTATATTTAACCACGTCCATTACAGAATTTGACTTTCTTTCTTCAAAAGATCGAAAGCAATCTAGGTTCTACAAATTCATAATTTTATGGAAGGTTATAAAAAAAAATCCTTATTTAAAGCTAAATGGTTGGCAATAATCCAGTCCTCAGCAAGAGAAAGATATCTTAAACATTTTATTATTGATATTTTGCTCGGTTGAATTTGTGGGCATTGGTCAGTTGCGCACCGCGGTCACAAAGATCTGCATATAATTTTAAGGATTAATACCACAACCATGTATTACCTGTTCTAATAGTTTATGTGGCTGTTAGTCGTTTAAGAATATATAAATAGTAGGATTCATACTTTCAGAGACACAATTGTATAATTATTTATTAATCATTAGGTTTCAATTCATTTGCACATTTTCAAATATGTTCGTTCCTGTTGAACTGTAATGTAGGAGAATAAAAGGATTGTACTGATGTCTTCTTATCAACTGGTACTAATTGTGGTATCGTCCGTAAACAAGAAGACATTTAGCTTTGATAGATATTCGGGTCATTTGTGTTTATTCAAAAATAACACTGACTCTAGAATAGACTCTTGTGGAACGTGAATTTGATCAGATAATAAATTATCATCAAGAATAAATCATTAACAAACTGTGTTCTGTTACTCAAGTTGATTAATATCAGTATAATGATAAGGAGATAATATATTGTCCAGTTCTATATAATGTAAAATTTGCCAAAGCAGCAGTTTTTCGAACGCTTTCAAAAAAATTGATCGAAAATTAATTCGACAGAACTTCCCTCGCTTTTGCTCAACAAATACTGCTTCTCTGAAAAAAAATATAAAATTTGATTTTGTGGAATTTCACTTTTTCGTGATAACCTCAATGTAAAGACAGTTGGGACTCCCGAGAAGGTTTCACATTCTAAAAAATACATTTTACTCCCCCGAGAAGGTTTCACATTCGTTAAAAAACGACATTTGGCGCCCTGAGAAGGTTTTAGATTTTTAAAAGAGACAGTTGGAACCAGCGAGAAGGTTTCACATTAAAAAAAGACAGCTGACGTTCCCGAGAAGCTTTTGCACTAAAAAAAAAAGATATTTAGGGCTCCCGACAAGGTTTTTAATAAAAAAAAAACAGTTGAGACCCCCGAGAAGATTTCACATTAAAAAAAGAGACATTTGGTGCGCTTGAGAAAGTTTTACATTAAAAAAAAACATTTGGGGCCCCGGAGAAGGTTTCACAATAGAAAAGGAGACATGTGGCGCCTCTGAGAAGGTTTTACATTTTTAAAAAAGATAGTTTGGACTCCCGAGAAGGTTTCACATTCTAAAAAAAAACATGTGACTCCCCCAAGAAGGTTTCAAATTAAAAAAAAACTTTGGCGCCCCCGAGAAGGTTTCACTTTAAAAAAATACAGTTGGCGTTCCCGGGAATGTCTTACATTAAAAAAAAAAGATGTTTAGGGCTCCCGAGAAGGTTTTCAACTAGGAAAAAAAAACAGTTGAAACTCCCGAGAAGATTTCACATTAAAAATAAGACATTTGATGCGCCTGAGAAGGTTTTACAATAAAAAAAAAACTATTTGGGAACCCCGAGAAGGTTTCACAATAAAAAAAGAGACATGTGGCGCCTCTGAGAAAGCTTTACATTTTTAAAAAAGGTAGTTTGGACTCACGAGAAGGTTTCACATTCTTAAAAAAGATATTTGGCGCCCCCGAGAAGGGTTTAGATTCTTAAAACGACATTTGACTTCCCCGAGAAAGTTCTACATAAAAAAAAAAATAATTGGGATTCCCTAGAAGGTTTCACATTCTTCAAAAAAGACATTTGGTGCCCACGAAAATGTTTTACATTAAAAAAAAACAATTGGGAGTCCCGAGAAGGTTTCACAATCTTAAAAAAATACATTTGGGAACCCGAGAAGGTTTTACATTTTTAAAAAAGACAGTTGGGACCCCCGAGAAGGTTTAGATTCTTAAAAAAAGACATCTGGAGCCCTCGAGAAGGTCTGACATTTTTAAATAAAGAAGGACGTTTCCTCAGTTTTTCGGAAAAGTAGGGTGGAGATGATTAGCAAAATTTTGGTTAGCATTTAGCCATCTACATGATATTTCTAATATATATACAGAATTTGGCAACAACTGGTCCAGCAATTTCGGAGAATACTAACTTTCTAATAAAAATGGATACAGAGACCAGATCGAGAGATAGGAACGGGAGACTACTTTTCTCGTACGCTAGGGGTCATGAAACGTCGAGAAAATATAAAAGTTGCCATTCGTCCGATAGACATTATTACTATACTTGCTTTGCTTACGCTTATTAGCTACGTGTCTATGGCTATATTATCATTAACATTTGCTTTTTTATAAACAAGTAATACAGATGTAATTTTTAAACAATCAGAAAATATTTTGCTATCAAGACAATAATTTATCAACCTTGTAAGTGGATGAATTAAAGCTTTTTTAACATATTTCTAAAACTAAGTTGATGAACTAAAAATATCTTTAGAACCACATTTCTTAAAAGTAATAACTAATAGCATTTCTTATATCGACTTGGGAGTTTGTAAATAGAAATATATTTTTGTTATCTTTCTGAACTGACTTGCATGCTAGCCAGTGGCGTAAAGAAGAGTCCTGTAGTCCCTGCGCTGCGGGGGCGCAAGTCAAAGGGGGTTTGTGTTTATGCTTCGAAAGAATTCGACTATTAAGCACGTCCACGTAACCAGCATTTCCGGCGCCCAAACAAAGTATGCATTTGTACCAAAAAAATTTAATTTGATTGATTTTATCTCCTCAAAGGAGAGGGAGGACAAAATAATTAATTAAATTGCAATGAGGCAAAACAGTCGGAATATGGTACATAAATACTTATATGATATATTGAATGTATAACAAACAATAAAAATTATAAAGAAGAATTGATTAACCACAAGGACAGGAGTACGTTATTTTATAAAATTTAAATGTCCTCGACTGCGCAAAATGTTCATCTGAAGACATAAAATTAGTAGTTAGTAGTTTTGGGGATTATCTGTGTAATAAAATCGACACACAATGCAAACAAAAGACAGAGTCAAATAAACAGGCAGACAAACCCTAGATATCATGAAACGTCGAGAAAACATTAAAGTAGCCAATTTTTCCATTAACCCTATTATAATACTTTCCTCAGCTTATCCTCAGAAGGCAACAAGAAAAATACATTTTTTTATTTTCGACGAGTTTTAATTAAATTTTGTGCTCTGTTAAATATATAGGTGTTTCATTTGTTTCGCATATCTGTGAATTTAACATCAACATACTAGAAAATTAAATAAATTTATAAAAGTCGCAAATAAATTATATAAGTGAAGGAAATAATGTTTAAAAAAATTTATTAATTTTTATGGACATTAATTTAAGTAATTCCTCTTTTGTTTTGTAGGCCAGTATAAGTGATTTATATGTATGAAACCATGCCAAGTTTAATGTGTTTTTTAAATTATCAAAATATATCATACAATTTCAAACTTGTATGTTAAGAATGTTTCTTCTATTTTATTGCTCAAGACATCCCACCACTCCATAGCACAAGCTAGTTTATCTGACAAATTTATTTCAAACTTCAGAAATCTGCAATTTTATAATTCAGCTTTTTTAATATTTCCAACTGTATTTATTCAGTTGCAACAAAATGTATCCACCTGAAACAGTAAAATTATAAACAGTAAAAATATTCAGTTTCACAAAAATGTTTTATAATCCAAGTATAATTCAGATTATATTTTGTATGTACTGGCGACTTTGTCATCCACCGTCTTAATTTTGTGACACATATAGTGGAATCAAAAACAAGTCTAGACCGCATAATATAAACACATCATTATTACCTACATAGACATTTCTAAAATATGGACGATAATTTTTGTTAAATAGCTATTAAAAATTTAATTACCCACCCAGCAAAATTTGGTTTTGATAGCCAACACACTACGGCGTGTCTGTGCGAATAACCAACACTAAATATTTTACGTATTTTTTATAACACAACTATTACAGTGTTCAACAACCTTGCATGTCATTTAAATGTTAATTCATTACATGCAATAATATTGTGTTCCACATTATTAACAAATTATCAAGAGACAGTGCCACAAGACGTTGGCAAATAAGAGAATTAATTTCGGAAACAATTGTCCTCATGTTACCAAAAAGTAAAAAAAAATTAGTAGTGGTTAATCAATCGAAAAATGTGCATCCGAAAGATAAAGCGAATTTTCTTTCACATTTTCTCTTTTGGTATGTAGTGCTGACTTCTGGTTTGAATATGATCTCTAATAGAGTGTTCTAGGTGGCAAATACCGTTAGTGATAAAAAACTGGAGAAACCAAGTCAAAGAAGACGAATATGTAGTTGTTACAAGAGAGCACGAGTCGAAAAAGTTGGGAGACCAAGTAGAAAAATTTTGGAATGAGGAACAGATTTCAGGGAAAAAGGCTTCCCTTATAAGAGCGTTGTTTAAGAGTTTCGGAACTGAATTTATCCTGTGTGGTCTAATTTACTTTCCATTTGACATGGCATCTACGTATGTGTATATCAGTACCACAGTGGTACTAATGTTCATCTAAATATAACCTTTTCAGTGTACTTCAACCACTATATCTAGGACAACTCCTAAACTATTTTATTGTGAACGAAACACCTGTCACCAAGGAGCAAGCATATTTCTATGGATTTATGATAGTAGTATCTATTTTGATTCGAGTACTAAGTTTTCAGTACTTTATCATGGTCACTTTCTCCATTGGTTTGAAAGTACGCACGGCCTGTTCGTCATTAATTTACAGGAAACTTCTAAGTTTGAAAAAAGCCACCATCCAAAAGGCTACTTTGGGCCATGTTATAAATTTGCTGTCCAATGATGTGGATAAATTCGACAGAGCGTTTTGTTACATTCATACGATCTGGAGTGGAACTTTGAAAGTAATTATTGCATCCTATTTCCTCTACATATGGTTTGGATACCAAGGTCTCGCAGGAACAGGAATACTTACCATATTTTTGTTACTACAATGTCAGTATAACATGAACATCTACCTTAAATTAACTAGTCAATTTTAGTCTACATTTTCAAGATAACCGCATCCGCTAGAATGAATGTAGCTCTGAAAACCGACCATCGAATACGCATCATGAATGATATAGTTGCTGGTATTCGAGCTGTCAAAATGTACACTTGGGAGTCTTCGTTTGCAAATTTAATAAACGCAGCTAGAAAGTATACTTTATAGTTAAATTAAGACACTTTCATTAAATAAGTGCTTCTAGATCAGAACTAAAATACATTGCTCAGTCGAACAACATTCAAAACACAAGCTTCACCTTAGTGTCGTATGTGCACAAGTTGTGTGTTTATGTGTTCATCCTAGCAGTCGTACTTTCTGGATCTTCACTAACTCCACATAAAGTTTTCCTATCGATAAACATCTACGATTTGCTGCGACAAACTCTTCAGTACACCAGCGCCGGAATCAGCCAGATGTCAGAAATAAAAACTTCTTTTCTAAGAATTCAGGAGTTCCTATTTTTGGATGCCCACCAAGAAACCAAAGAAACTATTCGTTTGGAGAGTGAACTGAAAGTACCACAACGAGTACTTCTGAAAAATGTAGATGCCAAATGGGACTTGTCACTGACGTCTACAGCTTTGAGCGATGTTAACTTTGAACTAAACGAAGGCGAAATTGTTTCTGTTATTGGTACTGCTGGTAGCGGAAAATCTACATTGCTTCAAGTTATATTGAAAGAGCTTTCAGTTGTTAGTGGAACTCTATACACAGAGGGCTCCATATCGTACGCATCCCAAGAACCGTGGATATTTCCAGCCACAATCAGGCAAAACATTATATTCAGTGAAGTACCCAACGAAACGAAATATCGCAAGGTTATAAAAGCCTGCGCTTTGGAGCGCGACATTTCTCTTTTTACTTATGGCGACAATACGTTAGTTGGAGAGAGAGGAGTGATGCTCAGTGGAGGTCAAAAAGCTAGAGTCAATTTGGCTAGAGCGATTTACAAAGATGCTGATATTTACTTGCTTGATGATCCTCTATCGGCTGTTGATAAGTCCGTCGCAAATTATATCTTCACTAAATGCTTCCTAGAGTACTTACAAGGAAAGAGTGTCGTACTGGTGACTCACCAGATACAGTTTCTTAGGAACATGGACAAAATATACATTCTGGAAGAAGGAAAAGTAGCTTCTTGTGGAAAATATGACGAACTGGAAATACTAATGGGGCAATCTGTTCAAAAATATGAAAGAAGGCGATTAGACGTCGATGAAGAAAAGTTTCTAGAAACTGGTCACTTAGAATTTGAGATTAAAGAAGACAGTGGAAATTCAAACATTAACAGATACAAAACCTACTGTTTAGCAACTGGACACTGGATCTTCATGGTCATACAAATTCTGCTTTTCGTTTCAAACCAGATTTTTATAAATGGCTCGGACGTTTTCCTCTCATTCTGGGTCAATCTCAGACAAGAAGGAACTACTAGTTCTACAATATCAAAATATTTAACAGACATAAATTGCCTGTATATATACACAGTGATAGTGTTTTTTTTGATATTCTTGTTTCAATTAAGTACGTGGACATTTGTAATTTTCGGTAAAAGGGCTTCAGCCAACCTACACGATTCATTTTTCCGTAGAATTTTAAACGGTTCTATGAAGTTCTTCGATTGTCACTCTTCAGGAAGAATTCTAAATAGATTTTCAAGAGACATGGGAATAATTGATGAGCTTATCCCTAGGAATATGTATTACATGCTAAAACAAGGTATCACTGTGTTAGGAGTTTGTGTTGTTGTGGTTGGTGTAAATTATTGGATTATAATTCCAACTATAATTCTGAAATTATTATTTTATTTACACCTGTTGGCATTCCATTCAGCTTTAAATCACTTCAAAAGAATGTCTTCAACCAGTAAGTGGTATTTCTACTACTCACACAAATTTAATTTTACTATTTCAGGAAGGAGTCCAATATTTACTCATGTTTCCGCTAGTATACAGGGTTTAACGACAATCAAAGCACTAAAAGCTGAGCAGCAATCTTTATCCAAGTTTGACGAGTACCAGAATTTTTACAATTCAGTTGAGTACATTCAGCGCGCTTTATATTTCGCCTACGCTTACTGGGTAGATTTTACTTGCTGTTTATACTCAACTGTAGTCATTTTCTATCAACTAATTCTCGTACAAGGTACGTCCCCATTTTGTCCGACCACGTGACTCGAAAGACAAATTTTCAGATCCTTTAGTTGGAAACGTTGGTTTATCTATCACGCAGTCACTTTTACTACTTGGATGCGCTCAATACGCTCTAAAGTTATATGGTGAACTCGACTCCCAAATGACCTCCGTGGAACGCGTCGTTGAGTACCCAGATCTGACACCCGAAGAAAACAAAGGTGACTTCGTCCCTCAACCATCATGGCCCAGTCAAGGCTGCATTAAACTAGATTCGGTTTCGATGCAGTATTCCGTAGACAAACCCTACGTGCTTAAACGTGTTAACCTGGATATCAAATCTGGCGAAAAAGTCGGTATTATAGGCAGAACTGGTTCCGGAAAGTCGTCCCTAATTTCTATCATTTTCCGATTATACGAGTTTGAAGGAACAGTTATCGTCGACAATGTGGACATAAAATCAGTCCCACTTAATGTTCTGCGGTCCAGGATATCGGTTATCCCTCAAGATCCTGTCTTCTTTTTGGGTACTTTACGGAAAAATTTAGACCCCTTCGATGAGTTTGATGATCAGCAGTTGTGGAGTTGCTTAGAAGATGTCAATCTTAAGCTGCTAGTGGCAAATTTACCGTTAGGACTGGAGAGCCCTGTTTTAGAAGGTGGTGCGAATTTTAGTGTCGGACAGAGGCAAATGCTGTGTTTAGTTAGAGCTATGTTAAAGAATTCGAAAATTGTGGTTCTTGATGAAGCTACAGCTAATGTTGATTTAGAAAGTGATAGTTTTATTCAGACTACGATTAGGAGGAGGTTTAAAAATTCGACGGTACTAACGATTGCGCATAGATTAGATTCTGTTATGGATTCAGATAAGATTGTTGTGATGGATGCAGGTGTTGTTGTAGAGTTTGGCACCAGGGAAGAGCTTTTACAAAATCCGCATGGATACTTTTACAAATATGTCAATAATCCATAGATTCTACTTTTTAGTTGTGATTATAACTAGTTAAGTAATTTAATTTTTGGAAAATCAACTTAGTAATGTAGTTGTAGATAAATAAAAGCAATTTGTATTTACATTAAATGTCGCTTCAATCGTGATCACATATTTAATCCAATTTTCCAACGTTCTGTGCCACTCGCATTTATTTGCTTTCTAGTTATAGCTACAACCCATGAACTCATTGTTAGAAGAGTATTGTTCTCCTAACTGCTTTTTTTAAAGAACCCTATACCTGCTAATCCTATGGGATTAACCATACACTGTAAACTGTATGATCCTTTTTCTTGGCAATTTCATCGACAATATATTAACATTCTAGTCTTCGACTAGCGAAGTGAGCGTTAGGAATGTGTTGCACGATTGTTAATCGATTGTGTGGAAATGTAAATATAAATTTGAGGTAAATTACAGGGTCAAGGTGGATATTATCGGTGAGTTTACTTCAGATGATAATATTGTCTTTTAACCACTCTCGGAAAAAATTGTTATGAGACATTGTGGGCTGCCTATATCACTGTCAATTTAGTTTACAAAATGAGTTCTCAAATTAATGATTTTCCAACAAAGGATTTGCATCGCGCTTGGCCAATAACCGAGTCTGCATTTACCTTTGTTCTGTACTATTAGTAGATGAGGTTGTCACCAAATATTCTCAGTTATCAATTAATGATCTGATTGTCGGGGTACGTCGCTTGATAAATCCGGCACGCAAAATTATCTTATCCAATGCCCTTCGATTCCCCATGACGTGTTTATTGACTAAATTAAAACGCTTGGTTTTAACATTGTTTTTGCAATGTCGTTTTTAAAAGCGAAACTGGAGGGCGAAAATTACACTCATATACGTAACTTTCGTCGACAACTTTTTATGCAATCCAATGACGATATCGAACTACCGGCCTCTCTCATAATTAAATATGCTAATACCCCTTATAGAATATTTTACTGTTACGATAATGTTTGTTTCAAGTTCAGACAGGTTGGCCATTTTGCGAGTGAATGTGAAAACGGGAAACAACTGAGTTATCTGTTAATTCTCCTACGGGAGTGAGACCGGGAAACCACCCTGTTTCAGAAGTACGCGTTGAAAATAATCTTACGACTTCTTTTTCTATTAATAGCGAACCTACTGTTTCCGGTAGTAAGAGGTAGGTGACTTCCTCAAGTGAAGATTCTCCTCATGTTATGGAGTTTTCGTTGGATTTTTCTCAGAAGAGTTTAGGCGAAGATAGACAACCTAAAAAGTTACGGTCAAGTGATTCACTTGTGAGTCTTCCACCTATACCAGAACTTTTAGCTCCTGCAAAGGAATTAATCGAGGATTTAGGTTCACCATTCCCTTTGAATTTTGACGATATCGTTGAGAGTATGCAAAATATTTTAGAAGCTTCAGATCTGATAGAATGTCTTCAAAGTTTTACAAATTATATAAAAGGAATCATTCAGATGTTGTATGAAATCTATCCCAAGCTAACCACGAAAAGCATAAAAAATCGATGCCTCAAATTACAACGAAAGCTTAAAAAAACTCATTCTAAAATCATCCATGAAAGATAAAATCATATTATGGTTAGGGAATAATTCGGACACTAATTTTCAATTTCCTTCTTCAACCAAAGACAATGAGTTATTCTGCAAAGTGTGTGGAAAAGTTGTAAGTAAACATTTAAAATACTGAAGCTTGAATTATGTTCACATTTTTGTTTCCTAGTTTAAGTGCGAAAAAAAATCACACTTTGAACAAAACTGCAGTGGCGATGCACATAAAAAGAACAACAATAAATCCAGTAAACAGACTTTATTAAACATTAGTTCCGACAATGATTTTACGCAATTTTGCACCGATTTATGTAGGGCATTTACCGCAGCAAATATTCCATGAAATAAAGTTAGTTGTCCTGAGTTTAAAAATTTTATGCATAAATATACAAGAAGGCATTTACCCTCAGAAAGCACTCTGAAAAAAAAAATTACCAAAAGATTACGATATGGTGAGCACTAGAATTTTTATTTACACACTCCAGCGTACAGTCAAAGCGGGGAAAAACTAATTCCAAGAAACAGTACACTAGTGCTAAATATGTCAAGAAATATTTGACAATCACTAACAGGGGTAGAGGGAGGTATATATAAAACAAAGAGAAGCAAACTATCATTCGGATTGATTGAAATTTTCACACCAATAATGTCAATAGAGGGTAAGGTGCTAGTAATAAGCGCAAGGTCCAATTTGCTGCATAAAAATTTGTTATCGTGGCAAGAAAGACTCCACCACCTTTAGAGACATTTAAACATTGAAAATTTTTGTCTTTTCTGAAAACAACAAAATTGGAGGGAAAGAGTTCGCTGCTTAGAATGTCATTGCAAAGCCAGCTTTCAGTTAGGGCAGTAAAATCATAATCATAACTACAAATATTATCATAAAAGGAACCAATCTTTGAGCGTAATCTTCGAACATTTTGATAAAGGCAAACAAGTTGATCCGAGTAATTAAGTGACGCAATTAGTTCAAACTGACGATTTTTAAAAGTAGCGAATTTTTAAAGTAGATTCTCCCTTAGACAAACGATCATTTAACTGAACCTTAAGTTGTTTATACAGGGTGTCTCAGAAATAAGTACATTAATTTTAATCAGTTATAGGGCTCATTGAACTCAATAACTTTTTTTAGTAGAGTTTTGTCAAGAACTTTTTAATTATCAAGTTAAAAATTGTTAAAGTTATATCCCAATTAAGGTTACCCGCCCATGGATCCTCAGTCACCCATGGACACTAATAATAATTATAATTAATAATTTATGGTTAAAAACAGTTATTAGGATACGTATTTTCATAATCTTGTCAGTGTGACAAACGTTTAGAGAGACATTGGAAATCCTGCTCCCTAATGGCGTACGGAATTTCATCGGCCTAAATGTGGGTGTTGAACACCTTCCCTCGTGTAACCGACCTCAGCAGTTGATGGTATAAGATATACAAAATTTGCTTGTTCGTTTATTTTTCTATTAACCCACTCACAAAAGTTTTGCCTACGTGGTAAGTCTGTTAGTTTCAATAAATGAACTTCCTGGTCCTGAAAGGGGTACATTTGTTCTCTGAGTATCCTCCAAATACTACTCTCCGATACATCACACTAGACAGTGATAACGTGCTAGTGCCTGGTCGAACTTCGCCACTCTTCAATATTAGCAATTCTATTACAACGTAACTTACCCCAATTCTGAGATCCAGGTTTAAAAGATCCATACTCTCGAAAATGCTGCAACGTTCTTAAAACTGCGCACATTTGGCATACGACGATTTGGGAGGTTTTCTGAAAAAATTCGTTGGGCGCGAGTGCCGTTTCCCCGAGCTTCACCGTATGTTAAAACGATATCGGTGCATTCCAGATTTGAAAACAAAGCCATTTCAACACATTTCGTCTATAAATCAGAAATCTGTGCCAAACAAACTTTAAAGAGACAACGTTTAATAAAAAGATTGACATAAAAATGATTGTCAGTGTCAAAACGGTTGCTAGGGTACCTTCTTCATTGTTGTAGTGTTGTTATTATTTAAGTTTTTATTTAAGGTGAACATAGACCGCTCGTGAATATATGGGTGGGAAAATTCGAAATTCGACTTGAGTTTTCGAAAAAATGCTAGATAAAAAATTTGTTCCGTTTCACGAGTTCTGTTACTGGTTAAAATTATTGTACTTATTTCTGAGACACCCTGTATACTTCTTGTTGTCTTATTATTAGTATTATTTGGATTGGTGATGCTAAAACATTGTTAATAATTGTCTTTTTCTTTACTCCATTGTCTCGTATTAGTGTTAGGTTCTTCAAGAAGATGGAATATAATGAGATTTTTGCTTCGTCTTTGGCGTTCCAGAATCTTTTAAAGCAGGTACAGCCTGTTGTTGTGAGGCGCTTGGGAAAGTTTGAGTTTGATGTCATCGAGCTGAGTCTGATTGTCAGCTTTAACATTTTTAATGGAAGATGACATTTCAGAGCGGAGAGATGAGATGAGTGCCTTCACTGAACCAACTGAATAATCCTCGTTCCCGACGATGGCTTCTATTTAAACCCGTACATACTTCCTTCTAGATGTGCGGTGATCAGGGTCTTTCTGGAATACCAATTGCGAGTTACGCTTTCAGGCTTTTCTATAGCGAACGCCATCCGGCCGCGTCATGGACGATGAGTCATCATCGCTGTAAACACTAGGACCCATAGGCGTCTTACCGGGGCGGCGTATTTCGTTACAATATTCTTCTCCACTATACAACATTTCATCAAAACCGCATCCGGTGGTCACTGCCATGAACACTTACCGAAGTCCTGGGCGATCTCCCATCTGTAGGAAATCTTTTGCAGTTCCTCTCAACAGCTGGCCATTCACAGTTACTTAAGGACTGGTCATTGTATTATGCTTATACAGGGTGTCCCAGAATTCGCCACATTCCCGTGAATGACATGTTTCCTGTCCCAAACTGTGCCGTAATTCGCAAAAAGAATTGTCCAGGCTTTAACCGTGTGAGAACTGGAAGGCGATTAAGTTGACCAATAGAGAGGCTGCTTCTATATCCGAACGTTTCTATGTTCAAAGTTACCTATGCCAAGAACAAAAAATCGGGTAATACTAAAGTTGAATGAATTTTTTTCCGAATCCCCCTCCGTCAACAAAAGGAAACAGAAGTGTGGTTATAAATTTAATCATTTTGACAATTGTTTGTCATAAACTGTCACGAAGTACATCACTGACCTGAAGAGACGCTTCTGCGTCAAAGATGACTGATTAATGTACACAGAGACGTCAAGGTTTACTTTAAGGCAAATAACATGAGACAGAAGTTATTTCTGTTGCCATTCTAGTTAAATTGTGTTTAATTGGGCTGTACATGTCATAAGAGAAGCTGTTTCATTTCATCGTAGGCAAATAATACATTTATTACTATTCTACATAGTGTAGATACCTAAGAGCAGGTATTAGAAGTCATTTTCTTAGAGCCC